GACCATACAACTCAGACCGCACGCTCAGACCCATCCGGAAAACGGACTGTCCTGGAAATGCTGCTGCCCCTCCCCGGCTAGCCCCCCTTTTATACTGAGCATGATGTCACATGATATGGAATACCCCCTTTGGCTAGTTTGGGTCACCTGTCCTGTCTGTGTCCCCTCCCAACTCCTTGTGCACCCCCAGCCGTCCCACTGGCAAGGCAGTGTGAGAAGCAGAAAAGGCCTTGGCTCTGTGTAAGCACTGCTCAACAGCAACAGGTCCATAGAACAAAAACATCTCTATATTATCAACGCTGTTTCCAGCACAAATCCAAAACATAGCCCCATACTAGCTACTGTGAAGAAAATGAACCTTCTTAGCTGAAACCAGGACAACTCCTCAGACAAAACTCTCATTCCTGGACTGCAAAATGGTGAGGTTCCTGTTGCAATTGATAGGACTTTGGGCTGAATCTGATCAGAGCTCTCCTGTCCTGCTGTAAATGGAACCAACCAGAATAGGGTTGCTTCCTTGATCACTGCTTTGGACTTTGCATGATCTGATGCTTAGTTACCTGGAGTGGGAAAAAGCCCTTATTTTTCTCTTATGAGTCAGTCCCACTCAGGTGTTACTTCATATCAGCACTTTGGTTTTATTTTAACAATCTCTTAACAAACACATCAATTTGAAATTAGATGAAAACCATCTCTAACAGCTCCTTTTGTTTTGTTGTTTGGGTTTTTTTTCCCCTTTCTGTTTGCCCTTTTGCTTTCCCTCTCTTCAAGTATTTTATGGTCTTTTCCTGCTGGGAGCTGTGTGACCTATGCTGACTTCTCTGAACCTGAATCTGCTACCCACTCCTGCTTGTGCAATGTGGAAGAAGTCCTGAATGTGATAAATGGTGATGCTGAAGGTGCATGGTGTCTAACTGAGTGAGAAAGATATGAAAAACTTTGTGGAGGTGAAGAGCATTTATGCTGTGTGTAAATTTCCATTAATTCTCTGAGGTTCTGCTGCTGCTGTTTTGCCAGAGAAGAGTTAAAATGTAGGATCACAACAACTTGTGGTTACAATAGTTGTCATGTTACTTTCCTCAGGTAATAAGTGGCTTCATTCTACCCTCCTCCATTCCACCATAGTTTGCAAGTAGACAAAAATATGTTCTATTTCTTAACTGATGTATTAACTTAAATTACAGTTCATTTCTTTTCGTTACAGATTTGTCTGAAAGATGCGGCATTTCTAAAATGGTGAGTCTGGTTTTAATTTTTTCAAATTTAATTCTGCATGTCTGTCAGTGATTTCTTAAGTGTGTGTTTGTATGTGCATGAGATCCCATGCTTGTTTCACAAGAGCCAAAGATGTTCTTTGCTTGTGATTAGAGCTTTGCCTTTACCAACTTTCAGTGAAGAATCTTTAATGTCAGCTAAGATGTACGTGAACTTCCCCCAAAGACAGTTTTCAAGCCAGTTAACTCAAAAAAATTATGATACATAGTGGCTTATAGCAGTACACTAAATATCAGTCCAGAAGATTGATATTTAGAACAGAGGAGATCTTCAAAAGCTTCAGATCATAAAGGTATTAGATGCAAAATTTGCTGCAACTGATCTGCATTATACTATGGTGATCATGTGCTAATACCGTATCCTGAAGTTTATTGTCTTCTGCCATCAGTCAGAACTGTGGAGGGTTTATGGAGCATTATGTTTTCTATCAAGACTGATTATACAGCTGAAGTTCACCCTGTAGGAAGTGTTGTCATAGCCATGCAGGATTTTACAGAAGCCTACACTTCAAATGGGGAGGAATTTTCATATTTTTCAGTAATAACGCTGATGCCTTGCAATAGTGTTAAGTGCTGGGGGCACTTAGTGACAAATAGTGACAAATGTCACAATAGTGACAAATGCTGGGGGCAGCCAGATATCATGTATGGCTCAGGATCTTTGGCCCCCACTGACACAATTTTGGATCTCTCAGAACTAGTCAGGCCCACTATGGGTGCCCTGTTGTCTTTCTGGAAAGCACCTGCCCTTGGCCACTGGTGGAAACAGCAGGTTGTGCTGGATGAATGCATCGTGGTAGAAGCCAGGCCTTATGAAAGGTAGCCATGGCCATACTGTCCTTACAGTTTCGTATCATGTCCTGCACTACTGCGTATGACTCTGCTTATTTTGGAGCTTAGCCCTGCAAAACGTAGTACCCAGGGAGAGCAAGCAACTAGCCCTAGTATCACAGAAATGTCAGCTCCAGTGCAATTTCCTACTTCTGAAAAAGATGGCTGCTAATCATTTGTACCTCATCCTGCATAGGAGCACTTGGAGAACTTTGTAAAGATGGGTCAGAGATATCAGATGTCTCACCACCACCACTCCTTACAAGCAGCGCAACAACACCAATGAGTTGAGCAAGAGTCCTGTTCTAATGTAATGTGGAGAGATTTAGTTGCTGAGCATGTAGAATAAGAATAATTACATTTCATTGTCCTGGTAGTGGAGAACCACTCTTAAATAGCAAAGAGGGGAATCAAGGGATACAGAAGAGCTACAGGGAGAATGTAGATCCCTGTGATTCCAGCCTTCTTCTGTTCCACTGGGAAGAGGAGTGTGTGGGTAGGAAAAGCTGGAGGGTATGCTTTCCCTCCCCTGCCTACCCATCAGCCAAACTTGGTCGTTCTGTGATGTGAAACCCTAGTGGTAAGCAGGCACAAACACAGAGGACTGAACAGATCTGTAGTTTATATTAGGCCTAGTGGATCTGCTAGGTCACCAGTGATTCTGCAGCCTACTTGATGACACACTGCATATAGCTGTATCAAGCCCAGACGGAGCTGAAGCTCCTGTCTTGGGTGATTTGCAAAAGGCTTGTAATCACTCTGTCATCACTACCTGATCATAGTTGTTAGGTTTTTGCACAGGTGCAAGGGCCCAGCTTCACGTCTCTTTTGTTCCAAGTTGCAGACCTCCTTGAATGTTTGTCTAACTTGTACTGATGTCATTTTCCCCATAGAAATGGGGGTAGAGAGAGAAGCAACAAATTCAAGTGAATTTACTTAGTTTTGATTTCAGAAAAACTCATCCAGGCTAAAGCTAAGAAGCTGTGTTGGCTCTTAAAAACAAGGACTGGTGAATTCCTCCCACCATGCTTGTGATGTTTGCTTGTGGTTCATGGGGTAGGACCATCTCAAGTTCAGCCAAGCAGAGCTGCCACTTATTTCAGCCTTTTTGTACTAACAAGAATTAATTGTCTTCCCCTAACTGAAGATACTGTTTTTTCAGCTTTAACTGGGCTGCCTTGGTTGTAGATGAAGCTCACAGACTGAAAAACCAAAGTTCTCTGCTTTACAAAACGCTTTCTGAGGTAAAATAACTCGTCCATCTTTTAGTGTCTAAAGCCGTCTTTCTCTTCAGTGTAGCATACAGATTCTATGTTGCTCTGAATATTTATTAAGCTCTGGGCCACAACCAGTTGTCACCAGAGCTGATGAACAGATTCCCGTATTTAGTGGCAGACAGATAAAGGCCTGTCTTGTTGGCTTTGCATGGAGGTGGAGCTTATTTCTTATTCTGACTCATATTTGAGCTTGACACCTTGGAGCAATATAAGAGACCGAAAAATGTAAAGCAGACAGACGGAGGGCTGAACCACAGCTGTGCTACTGAAACAGTAGGAATCTGGCTGACCTAAGACAATATAAAGTGACAAGAGGCTATCTCCAGCTCTGGGAGGGTGAAGGAACCCTTGCCTAGTTAATGGGACCTCGAGTCATGAACTATTGACTTCCATTGTCCCATTAAATGGAGCTACCCTTCTTAAATTGAAATTAGTAGAATTGCTCCAGTTTCCAAAGCACCCTGCCAAAGTACAATGAATACCTGAATGAAGGATACACTTCTTGTCATGGCAGTGAAACATGGGCATTAGGTCTGGGCTGGCATCAGCAACAATGAACTACAGTACCTTAAAAAATAAATTTATTATTAAATACTTGAAAGTCTTACATGTTCTGGACATATTGGCCATGATGTCTGTATTTCAGGAGCTTTGATTATAGTCACAAAGAAATAGGCATGATTTATGTTAGCTCTTCTCCTATTACCTAATTTGAGAGAAGACATATTTTTTCCAAGGTAACCATATTCCCCAAATCTCTTTACAAGGATTACTGTAAGCAACTTGGACCAGATAGTGTTGCTATTTGTCAGTTAGCCAACAAGTAGAAATGAAACATAGTCTTTTGTAGTTTCATTTCACTGTCCTATTCCAACAGCATTTTCCAGTCATCTCTCATTACCTAATACAAAGTATGCAGTATTGGACCGTAGAGTGCAGGGATCTGAGAATTTTACTGGTGTCGGTTTTGCACTTTGTTCTTATTTTGCCTACATTGTCTTCCTTGCATTGGTGCCATCCTAGTCAGTTTGGTGGAGCTGTTTGACTGTCATGCTATACCTTGTGTTGGATGGTTTTGGCAGACATTTGCAGCATTCCATGGGCAGTTCTGTGCCACCTGTCATCTTTAAGTTAAGTGGCGTGGGTGGAGTTGTATATTAAGTAACTTTTCATTCCAGATATTTTCTCCTAATAATTTTGTTGCTGGTTCTTTCAGTTTTCAGTAGGCTTCAGCCTGCTACTCACAGGCACTCCAATCCAGAACAGCCTCCAGGAACTGTACTCCTTACTCAGCCTTATTGAGCCTGACATCTTTCCTAGGGAACAAGTGAAAGAGTTTGTTGAGTATTACCAAGCGATTGAAAAGGAGAGTGAGCCAGGTCAGTAATAAGCTATGTTGTTCTTCAGTCAGAACCAGCAGTTATCTTGGCTAGGAAACAGGCATGTTTTGTCCTCATTATTTGCTTTCTTTTAATGCTGACTAGCTCTAAAAGAAAGCCACTAAAAGTAATGATTACTTACCTTAATGTAGCTCTTAAGTATTTCAGATATGCAGCTATATTTTGGTTTCTCTGTAAAATTTGGCTTGAGTCATTTCACTAATAGATGTAAGGTTCCTCATACATTTCTTTTGAAAGTATAGTTGTGAAGGTACTGTATAAATTCCTTATATTTAATGCAGTAATCTCCTCTTTTTTCCCTGCCTCTGCATAGCCAAAGAATTGCACAATGTTCTGCAGCCATTTTTGCTTCGAAGAGTCAAATCTGAGGTGGCTACAGAGCTGCCAAAGAAGGTGGAAGTGGTTCTGTACCATGGAATGTCAGCTCTGCAGAGGAAGTACTACAAGGCCATTTTGACAAAAGATCTAGGTAACTGAGGGTTTTGAATCCTATCAGTTAATTTTAAAAACAAAATTAATTCCTTTTGTAAATCTGTGTTCTGTTGTAGTGAACCAGAAGATACTTTGGCCTGCAGGATATGCATAGAGTAAACATGCCAAATTCAGTGCTTTGGGCTGCTTGATTTGTGGTTTTAGCTTGTGGTAAAGTAAGATATATACGCATCTAGGGCTGAGCTGTTGCAGAGCTAGGGAGGGTCAGCTTCAGGATTGTGCTTCAGGCCAGCCTGTAATTAAAAATACTTACCAAGAGGTAAGGCTGCTCCTATCGCATGCTTTTGTGTTCAGACAAAAGGGTGGTACAAGATATTTTGGATCTGTGGATCTCTACAAATTTTCCAATAGTAGCACAGATGCCATAGAGCAAATTTAAACCTACTGGATGTAGATATAGAGTTTCTTAGGAAGCCACGGGGCCATATAGACAATGCAGCCACAGACTCTTACCATAATAGCTGGCTCCGTGTCATTTCGCCTATGAACTAACTGTAACAAAGTATCCTGAGGTATGGGAGAGAACCTATTTGCTTCTCTCTGAATTCCTCCTCTTCCATCTATGTATGTGACATCATATGGCTTGCCAGTGCTTGTGTGTTGTAGGGGAAGTAAAAACAG